GTTCTACATGGATTCTATTCAAGGTTCTGCATGGGGGAAGAGCTCTCTGTGAGCAGCCCATGGAAGTCTCGGTACGAACTTTTTCACCTAGGTGTCACGCCTCACCTCTGACCCGTCGCCCCAGTCGAGAGGTCCTCATTATAATAATCCTGGGTNAAGGACAGACTCGAAGGACAGACTCGAAGGACAGACTCGAAGGACAGACTCGAAGGACAGACTCGAAGGACAGACTCGAAGGACAGACTCGAAGGACAGACTCGAAGGACGGGTTCGTGGTGTTCCCGGTAATAGGCGAAAAATGAGGAATTCGCATTTCGCTGAATACTCCGAAAATTGCGGGTGTTGAAAAAAATTGAAAAGAGTATCAATAGTGCTTTCTTTTATTGTCATACTTATGAGATAGTTATTTTCTTCAGAAATTTATCGCACAGCGATCGTGAACGCTGAAAATCGAACGACCAGGCGACAGTTTTTTCGATTTTTGCGAATGTGTTTTCTTGCATTGTTGCCATATGGCTTTAATTTCTGCATTCTGGGAAACGCGAAGAATAATGTGAACGTGCACGCTGGCACGGTTCAAATATCAACGAACAAAATGTGTCGATGAAGCCACAATCCGAGTGCGACGACCATACAGGCCTCAGCAGCACAGTAAATTGCACAGTAAATTGGTGGAGAATGGGAATCCTCGCCGTCGTGTGCTTGGGTTGTCGCGGAGTAAGGGAAAAAAAGGATGGATTTTACAGGTGCAGCATATAGAGGGAAATATGAGCCATGCTGATAATTCGAAAGAAAAAGCATTCTTCATTGCATCAATATTTAAGATTTGGAAGACTCTCTGTATCTACAGAGCGCGAAGGGGAAGGATATTTTTGGACCCACCGGCGCTGGATGATCCTGAGGCCAGCGTACTGCTCCAGCGAGTAGACCTCCGCGTGGGAGGCGTCCGCGTGGGCGTGGTACCGGTATGAGCCCACTTCGGTCTTCCAGCATCCGCTGGAAGAGGAGGGGAGGTCGGGTTGGCGGGGAGGAGTGTCACTGCGGAAAACCATTTCATGGGTTTTCCCTCTCACCGGAAGGCCATTGTGGTGGCCCTTCTTCAGCACGAAGTGCGGATTTATCGATTTAACAGATGTGATTGCTGGCTTCCTGATCTTTCCATCGTCCTCGAGACCCCGAATTTCGACGATATCGTGGTTCGCTTCTGGCGCGAGGGACCAAGGTCTCCTCAAGAGATAAACTTTACATACGGTTTTCTATACTTCTCATCGGAGATGTGGCATGACTCCAACTTTCTAAATTCCTCTCTCTTCCAAAAAGCTCCCCCTAAAGAAATATCTCGGAGGAAAGTTTTGCTCTTTGAACCATCAAACAAAGCCCTTCATGAGGAGACGATTCTTCAAGAGTCACTTCACTTCCAATGCCTCTTTAACAATCAATAACACGAAAAAGAAGCAATCCAATCGGTAAGCCCTGCAAACCGAACGGAAAACCTTCACGGAACGACGCAACAGAAGCCAACTAGATAGAACTCGGAGCTCCCCCCATACAGTAAGAGAGTTCTACTCCGCTCCCCTTCGCAACGTATCTGAAGAGTTGGACAGCGGTGTCCTTCCTTGAGACTTGGGATATTCGGAATACGCAAACACAAACGCCTGGGAATCGAGGAATGTCTGCGATTCACGACGCGCAAGTAAAGTGGTGGAGGGAAGGATCCCTCAAATGAAAACAGAAGAGGAAGGACCCACCGCATAGTGTGGGTTTCGTCCTCGAAATCGGCTCCTCTTCCTCCGTGACCACCGTTCTGGCTTTTTCCCGAATCTACGATCAGAAAAACGAATCGTTCGTCTACGAGGCAATGTCCTCATGGATTACAGCGAAGGCCTCGATTTCGGAAACGGTAAGAATCGGCCCACGTTAAAAGCATGCATATGGAGGGGAGACGAGTCAAGGCTCGACCCTATGGGCATGTTCTCGCCGATGCGTTCTGTCCACACCGCCCGTGCTTGAGGGCAACTGGTGACGTACCGGTGACATAAAGTCAAATTCGAAAATAAAGAAGCGAAAGAAATGCACGAATATCTCTTTTCATTATTTGTAAGTAATAAGTTTTCCGTGCGCTCGGGTTTTTTTTTCTGCGTGCAATGCCTTCTCAGTTAGGGCATCTATTTAAAAACCATTCCGTTGAGATGGATCTTCCCTACGCCGTCAAATCAAATCCACGCCTCTGCTGTTAAAGCTACGAGCTCAAAAAACCGAAATTCTCACGCAATCGAGAGAAGCCTAGGAAGACAACGAGGACCTCCGCGATGGAGGAAGCTGTCGACCGAATCGTCAGGTTCTGTGCTGTCGACCTTTCGTGCGAAGAACGCTTTCGCGCAATTTTCTGTCGCAGCTATCTTATCGTACGAATTGTACTCAAATGTACAAATTCCATGGGCCACAAGTGATTATTTCCGATTAGCGAGAAATGCGTCGGAATACACCCTATTCGAGAGATCCCCGAGTGGTTCAACCTGCAATCATCTGGGGAAGGGATGAAGAGGGGAGGGGGGGGGGGGGTGGAGTTCAGGTGTTTGGAACCAAAATGACGTCTTATGAGGTGAGGGCACCATGCAAAACAATTTGGTGATTTTTTAAATTCATTTTTAAGGAGATGCTCGAAATTATCTCCCCCACCCGTTTCGCTTCTCGACAGGTTTTCATCTGAAATGTGGACCGCAGAAACGAATGCTTATCATGCTTTTGACTGAATTTCATCCGATTCATCTTCATTTTCCGTTTCCTGGAAGCAGGGAAAAGGGAATCAAAGAAGAGAAGCGACACTCACCACTCGCTTCCCTCAGAGGGTCGCCCACCTTTAAGGGGGAAGGGCAGCAGTTAGGAGATGGGTGTCTCATGGCACGGTACCTGAGGGCTGTGAGGGCTGTGAGGGGTGTGAGAGGCGTGAGGGATGTGAGGGGTGTGAGGTGTGTGAGGTGTGTGAGGGGTGTGAGGTGTGTGAGGGGAGTGTGTCGGGCTCGTGTCCAGTGATGGGGAAGGCTTGGATGGGTTGAATGGGATCCAGAATGGGGGGATGTCTCGGGGCCCCCAACATCGACGAATCCGCCTCTGCCTGTTGTGGAGGGGCAATCGGGATTTCCTCGTTCCGGTTCTTCTCTAATGGAGAGAACGCGAATCTTCGACTCACCCGATCCTGGATTCGGGGGGTGGAACGGGCGTTGCCCTGGCTTCACCGGTGGCAAGAGGACCGACAGCGGGTCGACCCGATAACGAAAGAGGTCCAAAGAGGTCCGTGAGAAGCCCAGCATGGAGCCGATCCGATGGGGAAGTCGTGCAGCGAGTGATCGGGGAATTCTACGATGATCCTGTGATGGTGTGCGAATGGTTGCTGGGAAATACTGGGGGGTGAAGGGAGGGGGGTTGCCGGGAGACCTCATTGATGCGGCACGGTTTCGTTTATCTTCCTAGTCGTGCCTTTTTGGTTGGTTTGAATCTCTGAGAGTATCATGTGGGTAATTTAATTTCTCACTTCATACTGAAAGTATTGAAAAATTAATAAAGGTCGAAAATACCCAGACCCTCACGGCCGACTCGATCGACAACGGACCACGGACAACGTCTTCATCCCGTACGATCACGACATCTGCATCGATCATTCGCATCCGTGCCCAATCGAAGGGATAAAGGGTTTCGGTGAATTTTACAAGAAAATTTTTACGAAAGCGTCAGAGGCTGAAGCGACGTTGGCCGCTCGAGCAGGGCGATATGAGAGCCAGGAACACAAAAACAGCCTCGTTTTCCCATTCCAAGGAATGCAACAGGATACCATTGCAACCTGCGACATCCGTTCTCTTGAGTTCACTCGATTAATTTGTCGATCCTGGGGCATTTGCAGAGTAAAGCCTTTCTCATCTTGAAAGACCATGCGCTTCACATAAGCCTGCGAGAATCTGTTATGAAGTCTGTCGCTTTTTTCGAATCTCTTTTGAGGTGCATCTGGAATAACATTCGGAATTTCCATTCGACGATAAGACTTAACTCCCGCATTTTTCCAATTTCGCTATGCAGAGCTCCGTGATAGTGCGAGCAAGAATCCCCATGAGAATCGTGCGTATTAGATCCTTCTTCTCGCGACAGAGCATCCCCATCCACATACTTCTGGTTATATTCAGTCTTGAGTTGCAGACCTCTACTCTTAAACTCTACTCTCACCCTAGTATTAAACTGATACATCTTGTGTCATTTGCCTCGTCCTGGTGATTCTGCCGAGAGTCCGTGTTGTGGACGTGCCAGCCTGTGTTCCAAATCTACGAGATATAGATTTAGTAGACCGTAGGGAAAAGACGCATTCGAAGATGCATTCGAAAGATGCATTCGAATTTGAAGCTCCTTTCTATTCGCAGTAATGCTACATGCAGAAAAACTGTTGTTGTTTCCCTTTGAAATATATGTAGGCCCGATCTTTTTTTCTCAGAGACTGTGATAGGCGTATCTGTTGGGGTGCGACGAGGAAGCAAAGACCCAGAAACAGGAATATCAATGCATCTGACTACATGGGCTAATAAAAAAATTAAATGTTGGATAGAGTGGCACGACCAGAAACAAACTCACTTTGATCATGCTGTCGTGAGAGTTCGAACAAACGAAATTCGTGGTTTATCATGGAGTTAGTGCTACAAGTTGGAGTATCGGGTCAACCACAGGTTTCTTTTGGTGAAATATAGCTGTGTTACTAGAGGAGCTATCTGAGGGTTTAAAGGGGAAACTATCAACATAGTCCCTGAGGACATGCAAGTTCTTGACAAATTGGCAGGGTACACGTGCGTTTATATGAATTGCAGCAATGAGGACACTTGTTGAGGACAGGACTGACTGTATATAGAATGTGAAATATCCAGATGGGTTCTTTCCATCTTCAGAGACAACTTTAACGAAGGTATCTCTCCTAAAAAGGCAGTGGCGTAGAGAGGGGGGGCTTCAGCCCCCCCAAGTTTGGTTCAAGCCCCCCCAACTCCGTTCTGCATGCTTCCGCCACCCCTCACCCCCATACCAGGCGAGGAGAAGTAAGCCCCCCCCCACCGTTCCAGCTTAGCCTCACCATTGGCGAAATCCAGGCTACGCCACTGTAAAAAGGGTGGTTTTTCATGTCAAATTAAGTATATAGTAACCAATATTCCAACAGCCTGAATTGAGGATCCATTGCATTTTGATCAACTCAACATGCAACTAAGGATGCCATGCAAGCCTGGACTCAATCTTGTAGTATGTTCGTTTTGATATTTAGGTCTGTCCACGGTATCGGATGTGACATCTGGAGTAATATTTTTAGTATACAAAATGTATTATCTATATTATGGATGACGAATCAGCATATAAAGTCTGTAACAATTTGCTTTGGGTGGTGACTGAAAATTCCGTAATCCAAAGTCTTCCACTCTCTCTTACATTAGAGGTGTACCTCTGTACAAAGAAAAGTGTCAGACGTGACGTTTCGTGAACCTCAAGTTAAAGTCACTTGCACTAATATTCACATATCTGTCATCGAGCGGATCCTAATAATTTAGCTTCATGTTTATTCTATAGATTGAATGAACGCTTGAAATTTAGTGTAAGTCACCCCAAGATGTCAGTACTTGAAACAGAATGTAAGCCTTTTTTGTGACAGTGTCAGATGTGACAGGAAAGTGTCGGAAGTGAAAGTGTATTTTGAAACGAGAAGTATGTACATATATATTCATTTCATTTTAAAGATATCATTCAAATGTGTACAATTGACATCTACTCTTCACACCTAGGCTGATTTGAAATTATCAGCATGCATGGAAAGCTCATGCTGGCATCTGTTCCAGTAGTCTAATTCAGTCTCTCCAAATTTGCATTTTCATCACATTTTTTAGTATCATCAGATTGGTATGAATAATATGTCATAATCATGACTAATTCTTTCATTTTCCAATGTAATATTCTCTTTCATTCATGTCTTTTGGGATTATGACTTTCCATAGCGAAAGTAATATTTACATACTTAGGAAAATTTCCGGCTAAAATTCTAGGAGCACTTGGCGTGGACATTTGGCGAGCATTTCCTACCCTTCACATGACTGTGTTGCTTACAATGGCTGATGTCACTCTACTCTCAGGGAAGTGGAAAAGCAAAAAATTCACTGAAACAGAAAACAATATAATAGAAGAGCTATTTCCAATGATTGTCGAAAAAGAGCCAAGCTTCATTATTGTTGCATGCCAATAGGAATAGACAATTGATAACAGAAAAAGCATTGAACTTGAGAACCAGCAAAGAAAGGCAAATCTGTATCACAGTAAATTAATGATATCAATAACCCTTGCAGCCCTGGAACACAAGGGCTGCATTCAAAGCACTAGAACGGCATAACAACAACTTACATGAAGAAAATAAATACTCAAGTCTAAGCTGGGAAGCAAATCTCTTCCTAAAAACATTCAGAAGGTCCAGTTCTGTTTTATGTAGGCATTTTCATTGGTGGTTGGGCTGGCTATTATCAAGGAAAGATGGCACTTGAATGACACATTAGAATTCCACCAAGTACTCAGGATAGTAGTCGTCATCATAGTACTTCACAAACAGACTACCAGTATCATTAGTGGTAGAATCATAGCCTTCTGGAGGGAGAGTCATGGAACCATCACCAACAGTAGCAGAACCAACTAGGACTTTTGCAGCAAATATGCATCCACCTTTTGAATACGCTGCTGAAGTCTTTGGGTTTGTGGCAAAATATACTCCTTTACCAAATTTTGTACCATGAGCAGTTCCATTCTTCCTCCAGTCAAAGTTTACTTCACAGATGGACTGGATGTTTTGTGATGAAGTGCCATGGAAGAGGACTCTTTCATTCACTTGTCCTGCATTGTCATTATACTTCCTTAACAATTCCAATCTCTTATTTTGATACTTCTCCCATAGATTGGGATTCTGAACCCTTGTGATCTTACAGATGGTAAAGCTAGGCATGTGGGCAGCAACATTTAGGAATTCTTGGGATCCAAGATCTAAAAGAACCATCTTGCAACGTTCTGCCTCTTGCATGGGGACCCAGTGAGATGGTAAATGGCGGTATTGGGTATTGCTAGATCCTTCAGGGGGTGCAGGACGACGTCTGATGTCCCTCCGCGTATTTGTCTGAGAAAACATAAAATATTTTTGGTGTTTTCAAGCATTAATACCCTAAGAAGCTCAAGAGGGTAATCATGGGATCGTCATGAACATTGATCCTGTCAGGTTTATATGGCCTCAAAATAGTTGGAACATAGCTGGCAACGTTGGTCCAATTAGATCGAAATTGAATTATCTTTATTGAAAGGCATTATTAAAGAAAAAATGTAAAGTGGAAAGAAGGAGTTTCCTTTTTCTTCCTCAAATATAGAAGTTGTGATTCCCTTCAGATATTATGATTTCTAAAAGGATCACTTCAGTTCTTCCCTCCCTTCATGTAAGCATATCGCACCAACCAAACTTGCTCATGATGAAGGCAAATATTGCTCAATAAAGTCCTCGATTTTTCAAACCTAAGACACGAAATCTACTGTTCAATTTCACTCAAAGAATTAAACTCTTTCACCTGAGGAGCACGGACATTTGATATGTAGCTGGTTTTATGGCAGTCATCTGACATTTGAAAAGAATATGATTCTCTTCTGAAGTCCAATTTACCTGAAAATGTATACGCACGCGTTTTAAGGTAAACTAAGTCTTGGTCATGGAAAATCCATTCAATTTCTAAATATTAATTTGGTAATGTTTGAAACAAGTGTAAATGCCTATTTACTGGTCACTAGTGAGTTATACCCCGGCCGGTTTTTTCACCAGGATTCCTGTCGTTCGGAATTTGGGTAATACGTTTTAAGAGGATAGTTGCTATGTTCAAAGGCTCAAAAAAAACGACACAAAAATTGAAAGCAACAGAATGAATCATATTTTATTGGAAAGAACTTTGAATGATCTTTCTCTTGAAGTTATGGACAAGTCTACATCTTGTTTGAAACTGTTGATATAAACGGTCAGAGATGATGAGAATCAGCAAATTTATTATTTTTAAATTTAATTTGAAGTTTTTCAAACACAGTAGGAAGTTGAAATTAGGTTTGCAACATTGCCATTGCTTTCCCAAATTCCAATTCTGCAATTTTTCAAAAGGTCGTTGTGTTACAATGCATCCTAGTGCTAAAAATTTGGCAGTATTTACCGGTTTTGGAAATTGTGTTACTCAATTTGTTGTGAACTTAGCAGAAATTGCTTTTAAAATTGCGATTTACATTGTCTCAGCTTTAATTAGAGTCTAAAAACACTTTTCTAGCTCGACTAGGATCAAAGACAGCGCTTTAACCCCAAATGCCACTTTTACTCTTCGGGGCTAAATTTGTGCCCGCATGAAAGCTAGAACCCTTTGAGCCATAATTCTTGGATGTCAACATGCAACGTTTCTTTCAAACGGATCGGAGTCTAAAGCCCAACGGAAATGACTAACATTTGACCACTTGAGCTGGAACGCTTCGTTAAATAAGGAATGATTGAATAATTGAATAAGAAGACTTAAAGGAATTATTAAGAAGCTAAGGAGAAGAATTGGAAAAGCTAAGGATGAAATGAAATGGGAAAAATATTAGGAACCTGTAATTCAAGTGTATACCGAAAATGAATGATGAAGGATGGAGTGTCACTCAAGCAGCTATGGGTTCCGTGGGTTTTCACTGCTCCTGATCTGAGAACTGTTATCAAGAGAAGGCTTAGCCTTCTTAGCCTAGCCTTACCTTAGCCTTAGGGAATCTGTCATGATGAAACGCTCCCTGAATGGGTTTAATGTTTCAATACATGTCCTGCAATTAGTCGAGTTGAGTTAAGTATTAACCTGAATCACAAAGTTATTAACGCTTTAACGTGTGAATTTTCCGAACGAAATGAAAATGTCTTTTTTGTTTAACGCTTAAGGAGGTACTCTTTTATAGTAGTCGCATGTTTCACCGCTAGAAAGCAACACTGAAAAGATTATTTGCGCCTGAGTTGACTGCATACACCAAAAGTTTCGAGGTATGTGTACCATGGCTAAAAAAAAAGCATCACCAAAAATTTTGCCGTCCACTATATAGGACATGATGCGTGAAAGGGTTAATCTAATGAGTAAGTGTTGGCTTGTCTGTTTCAAAGTTTTCTTGTGCGAAACCTTGCCAATGCATTACAATCAAACTAGGCTAGCAGAACCAGGAAATCCTTGGTTAAATCTGGAGACCAACTTTTGGGTCATCTGCTTAATAAGTTTCTTCCAATATGCATTGCCTCGATGAATTGCAGTTTGGAGTTCCTTGATGAAGACAATTATTTTCGTTTAAGGCATACATAAGCTCCAAATCATGAAATTTTAGGGAAGTTCATTATAATGGTTAATAAAGATGGAATTATTTAGAGCGACACAAGTGTATAATTTCAAAGTTCAAAATTTGTATTCTAAGGCAAAAATTTCGTGAGTCCAAAAGTTTCCTTTGAATTGCTCAATGAATATTGCAGTACAAACCCACTACATAGATTCTGATAATTAGATATGTGGTACCTGCCTTGTATATCTCATGATCAATCAGAGAATTTGGGAAAAAAACGTAAAATTCACTCCTCATTCCAATTTGGAATTTCATTCCAAATGTGAGTTCATTTGTTCCACATGTCCTCCAATTACATGACCACCAAGAGATCAATTTGAGTTTTTTTTTAAGTGCCATGTACAAGCAGCAAAATAAATACTAAAGCTTTTCTGGTAGGTGCTACCAAAGGAAAGATGAATTATCCTTTTAACCATCGCATTTTCTTTAGCCCTTTTGTGCATGAATTATGATAACATATGAATTCAGGTTTGTTGATTTTTTTGTTGGTTCTGTTTGATGAATTACACACCCTATTGTTGATGAACCTGATTTAATTTTTTTCCCGAAATTACAGAACCAAAAAATACCGTCCACTATAGTGCACACCATGCACTTGCGCTTTTGATGACATACAGAGGTTTCGGAAAGCTCAATTACAGGCCCGCAAGTTTTTGGCAGTTTCAAGTATTAACTCATTTGCAAGACTTGCAAATGAGTAGTTGAATTTCCATACATAGTATGGAAACTTTCCATGCCAATAAATCTATTTGCTCGCGTTTGTATTTTGTTTAATCTTTGCATGACAAGTCCTGCGATACCACGATGTGGCATGCATGACCTCCTCGGGAGCCCTAACTACGGCCCTGCACTTCAGTTTGGGAAATGACCTTGATTTTGTCCCAAGTCGAGGCGCATGCCCACGTGCCAAGCCCATTCTCCTCGTGTCTGTCTCTGAAGGGAAAACTTAACTACAGTGAATTGGCAAGTATGGTGCCGGTTGCGAACTCATCTAGCCGTGGTAGGGAAGTCTCTTAGTTATTGAAAGATAACCGTCTTGGAAGAATAGGTTATTGTCTCTTATATCAACATTGTGGTGCAGGACCATGTCAACCCAGATCCCAAAATCTGATATACCGTAGGGTCACGCCCTCCGAGACCGCCTTGGCACAACTCAAATCTGGACAGGTAACTTGAGCTATACGCCTAGATCTACTTTTGTTGAGGATCACGGCCATCGTCCAAACCCAAAATTTCATGGCTTGTGTCTACATCACCCTGGTCTGACTCTGAGGACATCATTCTTAGCCGATGGCGTCGACTCTCTCACTATTCAGAGTCGTGAGGAAAATCGTCGAGAGCCTCAATTGCTTTCCTAAGTAACGAATAGAGAGGGCTGGGAAATTACATATCATAGAACCTTAGAAGTCTCAAATGCATGGTGTCCACTGGAGTGGACGCTAATATGTTCACCTTTACATTCACAATAATGTGTTGGAAATATGCGACAAATTGAAAAATCGCTTCATTTAACATTTTAACTGAAAAATAATTCACTACCACCTTCAAATCACCCAAACAATAATTATTGAATTTTTTTATGAACTGCCAGTCTTTTCCTTCCATGGTGGGAGTAACGCGTCAAATATTCTTCTTTACATAAACTATTTCCCATAACTGGTATTAAATATCAGTGGCATCCAATGGACATCTGTGCACTGGAGTTAAAAGCATGCTCTAGAGTCATAAAAATGAAGCCACCTCTGGGCCCATATGTAGTTAACGACGCGTCTACTACAGTGGACTCTATGCGTGAAAACAGTTAAATACTACAAAGAATACAGGAGCATTTTGAGCTCACCTTCAGATTCTCCTGCTGCATTGTCTCGAAGTTGATTTCATACTTGAATTTCTTAGTTCTAAAGCCGACGCAACCATTTCCTTGTAGGAACTGCTTTTCTATGTCTGCTGATTTCAGGTCACTAGAGGACTTGTGCTCAGCTGTGGTATCACCATATTTCATCCACTTCCCTGATACGTCAAGGAAGTACCACCACCAACTACATCGTAAATTAAAATCAAGGTGAAATGAATTCAATATTAAAAGCCATAGGAAAAGGGACGGTTAGAACATGAGAATCTTTGGATGACCAATTAGGAGTTCTTTTTTTTAGCATAAAACTGCCCCTATTTTATGATTAAATACATAACTGGCATCAAAGTTTTATTAACACGTTAGCGACAATGCGTCCTGCTGCCAGGATGCAGATTTTTTTTCAATGAATACCCTCTGGAACTGTTGAGAACGTTCAAGAAGATTATGATTTCGTAATTACTGATAAAAATTCCAAAAAAAATTCAACATTTTAAAAAAACTCGGCAAAAAAATGTTTTCTGAACAAAAAAAATGCGCGTGGTCCCACGCGGCGGACAAGCAAAAATAGGCTGGTCGTCAACGTGTTAAACTACCTTGTAGATCTTGTAGTTTTCATTATTTCTTTCAAATATGATAATTTAATCATTATTCATTTCAAGTGTAAGGGCAGTTGCAGGACATAATCATTGCGATTATTAGGGCTCTTCCCTGCATACCACCTTGCCTCTAGGATTTGATCCAGAGAATGATAATCTGTTTGGATAGAGGTATATGAAGTTTGAGTAGAAATCATTAATGGTGGGAAAGTGTAAAATAGGTTCAACCTATAGGTTGACCAGTCAAATTAATATTCATTACTCAAAAATTATTGGCAATCTTGGAGACATTGATTCAGAGACTGATGTGAGAAAAAGATCATAAAATACAAAAATACCTATGAACATAAAAATGTTTCACAAGTACTTCCTGAACAATGGGAAATGTATTGTGACTTACATGGTGGAGTGCTTCTTTCCTCCTGTCATGACATATGATTGTGTACTAAGTCTTCGAATGTCCATTCCTCCCTTGGTTTCCGTGTTTAATTTCATACTTTTAAAGTCCATCTCATATGAAGTGTCATTTAATAATTCTTTGAGTTGACGTCGTTCCGTCAAGTGGACTTCCTCTGATGTGAATGAGTCAAGCTGGACCGTGTCTTTAGCAGGATCAGAAAAATTATGCTCAAGCTTGAAAGATTGGTTCTTGCTCAAGTTGATCCATTTATTGGTAACGGGATCCATCACTTGCCAATGATAAGGTGTCCCAGCATGTAAACGCTTGCAAAGGCCACTTTCTCCATCGAGACATCTACCGTTAAGAAGGAAGATGCAAACCTCAGGTACTTCCACCTCCCCATCATCTTCATGAGCATGGAAGACCTTTCTCTTTGCAGCCTCTTCCATCTGCCTCCTGCACTGTCTCTGAAGCTCAAAAATTGCATCCAGCCTTTGCTCCTTCAGCTCCATCCTCAACATCATCTTCAAATCCTTTCTTGAAGTCTCCACTCCGGCATTCTTGAGCAATTGTTCACATTGTGGGTCCAAAATATCATGATTCAGTAGGCACCCACCAGTGCATGAATCCAGAATGTAGTTGAGACATAAGTGCAATTCTATGCATCCACTGCTAGCCTCGCACTCCATAGCATTATAACGACCACATATTCCAGGAACTGCAACCTCATCATTCGAGGATGAGGCGTACTTCTCATCCGCACATCCATCGGGTGATTGATCTGCGTCACACATCTTCAAGCCAATTGGCAGAGAAACTTTCTCTTCCTCGGAGATCTGGAACGGATTTAGGCCATTGAGGAAGAAATACCCGTACCACGATTCAATCGTGGTACAGGTATTTCCAAGTGTGCAGAGAGGTCATTTATATACAGTTCAAATCTAAGAGATTCCAGAACTTTTTTCAAGTTTCCTTTTCTTTTTTCTCTTTAACTCTTTTGGACCCTGGAAGAGTAAGACATTTTAACTCTCGTTAACTCATTTACATATAGATTAACCATCTTTCATAGGTTAGTGTTAGACAATTGGATTGAAAGCACAACCCTTAGGTAGTCGTGCACCGCTCTTGATTAAGTGCAACTTTTCTTTTCGTGAAATGGAATGTTCGCCCATCTTTTCCTTAGTGCAGTAATAAAGGAATAGTGAATCAAATTTAAAAAATTCTTTCAGCAGGGGAAATGCATTCATGAAGCCTTTGCTTCCAAATTAAAAGATATGGAATGCTTTGGGGATATCAGGGACATCACCTATCAAATGGGGAATAAAAGATTCTGTATTCGATCGGTTCTTGCATCTACATCTTCAGAAATGGATGTAATTGGCTAAGGTCTAACTTCATATCTGGATGGGCACCATTCGATCTCGCCCTCAAAAATATAAAAAGTTATTTATAAAGAGACATGCCCAAAAACAAGATGATGAATTTATATAAGTAAGGTTCTGTATGGTAATGAAAGAACTAGTCACAAGGAAAGGATTTGAACCATTTTCTGTTATGATGAATGCAAAGCAAAGCCTAAACAGAAAATCCAGATACTCTACCTGTTACCAAGAAAGGTAATTTTCTCTTCCTTTTTTATGCGAATTGATATTAAAATCTCATGCTAGAAACTAATAATGTAAAACATATTTCATTGAATAAAAAATATATCATTCAGACCTTATGTAACTCACCTTGTCAATTAGAAGGAAATTATTCACACCAAACTCAAATATGAGAGTTTCATGAGGTCCATGTACCATATTATGCTTGCGTTGGTCAAATTTTCCATCCCTCTGTAAATAATCTAGACAAAACACCTTGACCATGCAAAGTCCTCACCTGTTGTGGTTGCTGAACTGCTTCTTCCAATTGAACACCTAGCAAAAAAAAGGATGCACTTTTTTAGGGAATATATCTTTCAACATGTTACATCATACTTATGACAATTACTTTCATTGAAAAGAAATTGAGTTGCTCTAGACAGGCATTCTCCATGACAGGCAGAACCATAGCTTTGATGATGATGGTAGTGATTATGTTGAAGATGATAACTTCGGTCATTATTTTCATGGAGGTACCATGCAGGAGGAAAATTCACATAGAAAGGCTTCTCAAAGTTATTTGTGGGGAGGAAATGGAGTTCCACAGCTCTCCCTCTAAATGTATGTCTGCCATTGTCTCGTCTTGAGTCACCATGTGGAACAGTAATGTCATTGATGAAAATAATGATTCAAATGGACCTCAAAATTATGGGTGAATCCCCTCCGAGGGAAATGATGAACTGTGTTGTCCTCTTGGCCTTCCTCGACCTCGGGAATTTTTCAATCTGTCTTCATTTCTTAGTGATGCTCCTCCTCTTGTGAACCAACCCCAATCGTCGGCATTATCTCCAGAGATACAGCTCTCTTCTATGGAACCCCCTCCAACAGCAGATACTACTAGATAACCGTCCTCATCTCTGTTTTCATTCAGCATAGTTCCTGAAATTTGTTTATCTTTCCTCCATGCTACTTTTGACATGGTATTAATATCAGTTGCAGAGAAATGACGATGAGCTCCTGTGCATAGGAACTTTCACTACTTCCATTTTCAACATAATAGCCATCTGAGTAATAAGCAGTATTTCTTCCATTACTCCGGGAATTCCTATGGTCAGGTTCAAAGTCTCTTTTTGGATGAGCATTTCCCTAACTCGATCGACCCCTGGTACCTCTCAGTCTAAATCTTCCTCTGTTATCTAAGTACCGTGCTGGTATCCAATCACCTCTTCATTGCTCTTGATGCCATGCAGAGACACATTCATCCGAACGTGGAGATGGTTCTCTTTTTGAACATCTTTTCAAGTTCATTCCACATGTATTACTTCTTTCAAGACTCTCAACCCCTACATCCTCATAGGTATTAGGGGAACTCATACTTGAAGGATATCACAACTGACTACTTATATAAACGAAAGACAATACTATTATTTCTGCTTAACTGAATCCACTCCATATTGTAAATACCCCAGGATTGTATATAATGCAACTCATGATTTGATAAGAGATACTTTGGGATAAAGAACCAGCAGCATAAATAGCTTGAAGGGTTCCAAGCCTCTGCCTCTTATCTTTTCCTTCTTACTTCTTAGCATCTTTAGAAGATTAGAGTAAGTCATTTTCATTCCTTTGTTAGGCAATTTATAAATCCTAACATACTTTCCTTATTGACATTTGGTCTGCCATAGTAAACCCAGATATACATGCAATATATGCAACATGTTCCACCTTAAAACATTTTTAATTCACTATACGCCTGTCCATGAACGTATGAACCACTACACTAAAGTGAAAGGACAGTCCTTTTGCTGACAGCAGACTCAGACAAGAAAAAAGGCTCAAGCTGGATATAGACATGACTAGATCAATATGATAGTGGAGGCACATTTGTCAGATCTGCTATTCACCATTTCCTAGAAAATCTCGAAACCATATGAGTTCCCTAAGTTTTTCATTAAGGATTAGTCATTCAGAATATGCACATATGTGTATTGAGAATGTGTAAGGAAGATTTGTAATTCTGGAATATTGTAGTTACAAGACAGTACTTCTATCATGATATACCTAGAGCTGTCTACAATGCGCCTTAGAAAGAGTCAAGGCAGTATGATAAAACACAAGTAGAGAACATTGGCTTGGTTAAATTCATCTGATGCCAGCAAAAGCTAGAATGACAGAGTAAGTACCAGTGGGATAGAGACAGGCAGAGGACCAGCTCAACACCACACACAACACCTGCACTGAGTCAAGACAGAGACCAGTTGAAGCTTCAATGAAACTTCAGGAAAAAAAAAACAAAAAACAAAAAAAATTGTGTCCAAAGTCAACAAAACTAAGTCAGGCATAACACAAGCAAGACAATAAGGAAGCAAAGATATTAGTTATTTGTAACAAGAAATGAACAAAAAACAGATAGGGAAAAATTTTTTACTTAGTCACCATAACTAAAACGGGAGGAGTGGGATTAGTTCGAGCTTCGGTTTGAGTGTGACTTCGTGGCTACAAGGGATCTGTATGTAGAGCTGTGGCTGCGTTTGGTATATTTTGAGCTGGCCCTACCTGTACGTCCCACCAATGATTGGTAGAATGGTGGTGGTGCCAGGTTCGGGTCATTCCACGTCAGATCGGCCAGAGATTTTGGTCGACCATCAGCGCTTTCGCTAAAATTTGGTGAGGAGGTAGTGCTTGGTCCAAAAGCGGGAAATCCAAAATATTTTTTTTTCTGACCAAAAGTGGTTCCGTGGCGAGGTCACAAAATGTTGACCCTGTCAGGCTGACCTCTATCAGACTTTCTTCAATAACTCCTTAGCTATTCAATGAATGTTCATTTAAAACTCTTTTTAAAGGTCTCTTTTGCCCCTATATTGTATATTTATTTCAAGCTCATATTCCTATATACTCATTTTTTAAATAAAAAATCAAATGCTTTTGACCTTTGACCCTTCATATAAAAAAATATGTCATGGCTAAATTTCACCAAATTTACAAGATAACAGGAGAATAATATGAAGCTCGTGAATTTTCAGGAGAATGTTTTGCCCCAGTCTCGAGATGTGTCAAATTGTGTTTTACATTTTCCGTTTATGAGTGCATTAATTTCAGAAAGGTCAATATCGAATCGATTTTTTGCTCCGACAGCATTGATTAGACCGATCTATGATACATCATATTGCCTGAATTATGCGTCAATAAGGTTCATATATCTTCAGGTTCGGTTTTTCAACCAGCCATCAGACATGTACAAAACATCCTTAAAATACTGTTTACCGGGCTTGGGAAGAATCTTTTATTTACCTTTGTGGAGGAAAAATTCAATTTTGCAGGAGCTTAAATTTATGTACTCCCAGCATCATGGAAGCGTCTTTAGACATATCAGAATGCTACTCGAAGAAAAATGTCGGGAGAAAAGTTGGAACAAAGGATAACAATCCTTCAATCCAATTTAGGGATTACAGAGGTAATCCTAAAACAACACTGGGAGAAATATATGATGGACTTGGAAACTGAATGTCTGGTCCTCATGGTCATCCTACGATGAGTCAGGGAACGAGAAGGGAACGTCGATAAGGGGCACTTTTAGAAAACCTGGGTTCATCGTGTCAGAGAGCGAGTTTGTATGAGTCAGCGAGTCTGATCATGGAATACGGTCTCTAATGATCTTTCTGGACCCGGTAGCCGCCATTGACAGGGTCAAAAGAGCGAGCCTGCTTTGAACCCTCAGCAAGGTCATAAACATCTGACCCCAGGTGAGGAGTCCAGCCTTGCTACACCTTTAATCCACAAAGGAACCATTAAATTTGACAAGTCTTCTTCCATCCTGAAGGGAGTGAGTGACTTCCCCTTTGACCCCGCCGCCAGACAATGGCGTGCGGCTCCAAGGGATAGGGCGGTACATCATACTGGAATGCAAAAAGAAAGTGCTTCTCGACATGATGGGGCCGTGAAAGACCTAGGATCGCCACTTATGACCTCTAAGCCCCTTTTCGAGGATTTAAAAAGGGGGTGACAGAACCAAATTAATGAGCTACCGTAAAAAGGGCTATGCTGTACTTGCAATGCTGGAGCGGATAGACCACAAGTCATTCTTTGCTCTTTAGTGGTGAGAATGTAGTGTTTGGGTTCTTCTGTCTCTGGATAAAGTGATAAGATAAAAGGCATGGACATGCACAAAAGTAAAATGTTTTAGCTTTTTAGTTACTATTTAGTAATTGTTCCCAGCTCGATTCCTACAATTTGTGGTTTATGTCATTGAATTGCACTTTATTCTTTTTTTTTTGCACATTACACCAAATTTCCTTTAAATTTTACTTGCCGAAAATTCCACTTGCCGGGAGTAATAAGTCATAGCCACCAACTCTTGAAACTTTTGCATGATCGGCAAAGAGCCTTTTCTTATCAGCGCTGGCTCCTTTATTCATGTTATTCATGAAAGCATTGTCTATTTGTTCCTTTGCTAGAACACGTATTGTGGGTGGAAAAGGGGAAGCAATATCATTTAGAGTGGTTTCAGTTTCACCATCATCTCTGCGCAGACCCAGTGATCATGGAGGCCTGTTTAATTGTACGTCTCACTGATGATCCTTGCCACCAGAGCAGTTCCTCTGCAGAGCACCATGGTATTTTAGCATTCACCTCTCTCAGTGCCAGTGACCAAGAATTAGTGAAAATGCGCACAAATCAATTCGATATTGATCCTTTCTGAAATTAATGCACTCTAAAACGGAAAATGTAAAGCACAATTTTGACACATCTCGAGACTGGGGCAAAACATCCTCCTGAAAATTCGCGAGCTTCATTACCATATTATTCTCGTGTTATCTTGAAAATTTGGTGAAATTTAAACATATTTTTTATTTGAAGCCTCAAAGGTCAAACGCCTTTGATTTTCTTAAAATAAAAAAGGAGTATATAGGAATATGAGCTTGAAATAAATATACATTATCGGGCCAAAGAGACCTTTAAAGGGAGTCCCAAATTAACATTCTATGACAAATAGCTAAGGAGTTATTGAAGAAAGTCTGATAGAGGTCAGCCTGACCAGCTAAAATAGGTCAACATTTTGTGACCTCGCTATGGACCCACTTTTGGTCAGAAAAATTTTTTTTTTGATTTCCCGCTCATGGACCAAAACGCTACGTCCTCACCAAAATTTCAGCGAAATCGCTGAAGGTCGACCCAGAAATCATGGAAACAATGGTTGATCTGACATGGAATCACCCGTTCCCATTTCATAAACGCTCACTCGTACCGTCAACGTTGATATCAGGAATCGTCAGCTTCAGGTCGCTCAGAGTTTTTGGCACAAACTCCTTCCTGGAACGAGCAGCTGCTTCATTCTTCCTGTGAGTTCATAAAAAAAATTATTGGAAAAGTCCATCTTCAATCTGAACAGCTGATTCCCTTCAAGTTTAATCTGAAATGATGTCACAACCATTTATTGCCATAATACCATTCATTGGCTATTGGTATAATATAGCTTGAACTACTAGCATATGGTAAATAAATTCTACAAGTACGTACATATAAATGATATTAAGTACTTCTCTTGTTACAAATGAAGCATGAGCCAATTAGAGCAAAACATTTTAAGAAAAAAGAGAAGTGGACTGTACATTTCAGTTCGCTATATGGGGGAGTTAGTTGTAACTGATCTGTCTCATTTCGAATAATAATAGAACTTCTTTTAAATCTACAAGTACTTGGCACTTAAACCCCCAGGCTGGTTTGCCATATCTCATACACACAGGGGGATATGAATAGCACGCAGTTAACCATTTGAATACCGACTTAAAAGGTTCGCATGTTCTTGAATGAATTTACCCAGCAGAAAAAAGTCGATATTCCAAAGGTTCCTAAGTGAGAAAATGAAAACGAAAACAGAGAGCATGAATCTTACCGATTACATAAACAGGATTGGGTACGATAACTGTCCGATCATTTTGCAAAAACAATAAAGTTACGGCAAAAGGCGAGTTTTCTACTTCTTTAGGATTCGTTCATGGAGTCCGGTGACGATTTCAGAGCAATCTTGATGATACTTCATTAGAACCTCAGTGAATGCAGCCAGCCACGAAATGAACTCCTCCTATAAGCCAAGAATAACTCCTATTATTTCATGAAAACACTCAATCCCATAGTCACAAGACCTAATGATCTCTCCAGAGGAAGAGAAAAAGGACGATGTCAAGGGAAAAGACTCACATCTTTATCCAGGAGTTTATGCATGCCATTTTGGACCAAGTTTATCGACTCAGCAAACTTATGCATTGCCAGCTTAAGCTCCTCATCTATGATATTAGAGCATAGAGAAAAATTGAAAATTACCCATCAATCTTCTTAAGCAAAGTCAATTATTTGAAATGAACAAATATATTCTCCTCAAAATATTCAGAACTTCGGAGTTCATTAAAGTTCATATGATACATAACAATCTGTCAGCCTGCGCCTTAACTCCTGGAAAACATGAATGCAATAAAAGTGCTTCTAAAATGCTGATTGCTAAATGAGATGTGCTGATGAAGCAAGTCCATCTACTCACCCATTGTTTGTTTGCGTTTTCTGCAGTCATAATAAAGTCTTCTGCCTTTAAGCTTCTTGCGGATATGCTGCGTAAGCAGAACATACAGTCTCAGAATAATGAACATGAATTAAGGAATAACGTGAGAAAAATGCATACATGTATGCAAGAATGTATATAAAATTCCTGGCTTCCTTACATTCAACTCCTTTATGTCCTTGGACTGAAGGTGATGTATTGGTCCCAGAAATTTCTGCTTCACATCATCATCCAGAGCATACTTCTTGTCAGCCATCTGCTTCAAGCCTTCTCCCAATATCACAAGGGATTGTGCTGCAACATCATTTTTTAAATTGCTCCCTATTCTTTCTCATAGTACACCAATTCAAATGAGACACATAAATTCGCACTTAAATTATTGCCTCAAAACTGATATACCATCAGGAGCTCATCCAGGTCTTGAGTGACAAGCAATAATATTCAAGGTATTAATCCCAATACTTTATGACAGGAAACCTACTGTAATGTTTTCCATTGATTGCATTGGACAAATCCATGAGTATTTCATTTAAAAAAAAAACATGTAAAAAATATGTTTTAGGATTTCTTACACGAACATAGGAATATCTACCAGGAGGTTAATACCACCCACAGAGCTAGAGTCTGCTGCCCAGGATCGTGAACACTTAAAGATGCTCCTGGGCCTGTTCAAGTTGCAATCTCATAAAGTTGGTGTGAGCAGTTTTGAATATGTATGCATGATACAATGTGGACCAAAAAATTGTATCCGATGTGAAAATGATATTACAGGATAACCACGCAAGATAGGATTGAATAATAAAATGCATTAAGCAGGCAAAAGTCAACATTTAGTTTAAGAAACTTCACTTGCACATCCCAGCCTTCTCTTGAGGTAGAAACTGAGAAGAACAATGATTCATGCCACTTGTGCTCTTGAAGAGATAAAGGGGCCTGTCAATCGCTTAAAAACTCAATGTTTCCATAAATGGATCTATTAATCGAATATTAATTGATCCCTTAGTTCCTCCTTGAATCATGTCCTAGGAGTTGAGAATTACTTTGGTTGTATCATGCCCAACACCTTATCCATACATACACTAGTTCATCCTGCATGTGACATATTCCAATTGGAAGAAGTAGTTCAAATTGGTTTTGGTTGTTTTGCATTCTCATCTCATGAGTTAATGCCGATATCATAACCCCTCACCCAACATCCATTGCTTGGAAAACAGTACCCGACCATTTTCAGCATTCCCTTTAAATGCAAAAATTATATTGTATTTCCATGAATATTTCCACATATAAATGCATCCAATCCCGTATTCCTTAAAAATATGGATATGTGAGGAGAATGTTGGAAAACTAACCCAATTTGTCGTCGTCGATGTTGTCGTCCCCAAGTTTGCGGCCATATGTTTGCATACATTCTCCAAGGATTCCTTCAGGCTGAGGATATGTTGATGCTTTGGCTTGGTCACTAGACTTAGAAATCCTTTTCACAACTGCCATTTTTATTCGAACGTTTGGGTTTGGTTGGAGGAACTCCATTGTTTTTCTCTGAAGTTTCTCCACCAACTTAGCTGTCACCTCGGTTTTCTAAAATGAAAAAACAGGATGTTGATCATATCAAGGTTCTTTTGAAGGTGACGGAATAGACGAAAAACAAGGTCACAACTTCACGGCGTCAGTTAGAGAATAACCGGACACTACCAGCAATGGGAAAAAGCAATCATTGGTCAGCATGCACAGTCTGACACAATTTTTTTGGCAGAGGCCAAACTTCCAAACCAGCATGCAGGGCTGATTATGGCATCCTAAGTGATCTTAAACGTGCCATTCCATCAGTTGCATCCTGATTGTTTTTTCTTCTTGCTAAGCCTTATCCAGAGCTTCTAGGGGCTTAGGAACTATTGCGGTTTGAAAGAAGCAAAAGGCTAGCTAGAGTTGAAAAGTTTACACTAATATCTGTCATATATAATTTTTTACTTTATTTTTTTTTTCCTATGAAGAATACATTATTTTTTTACATATTGAGAATCAGCACTATGCATCCTGGCAATGCAGAAATGAGGCCGGCAAACCAAGAACAACATGAATAATTTTTTTAAATCATACTGAGGCCGAAATATGCAAAAGCTGGGAGATAGGCTTTACCCATTCAGAAAATGGATGTCCTAGAATATTTCAGAAATTGCATTAGGTTAAGCAATGAATTCTTCCGAGTAATAAGTCAAGTGAATTATTCCATGTCAAATAAACATACCATTAAACATGACTTTCTTCAATTTTGATTAAATTTGATTAAATTTGAATCCTGCTCTGCACGATTAAGATAACATGACCCCTAAAAGATGTTTGCGTTCAATCACATGCAGTGTTATGGTGTTTTGATTGGACATGTCCTCATCAAAACCAAGAAATTTAGAGCCTTTTGATGCAAACCAATCCCATCCGTCTGCCCCTCAAAGCCTGAGTGCTGGAAGTTCTACTTTTTATGCCTTATTTCATTTGAGAACAATTCATTTTTAGGCAAGGGTATTCATTGGTTTCAATCAGTTTAAAATGCTTTCAACTGAAAAAACCTGAAGTGCATCTGTCATGATAAACAGGATCTCAGGTGTAAACAGGCATGCACAAGTAGGGTTTTGTACACAAACACAGACAACCGCAAATGGGGGGAGATGGGACGTCAATAGCATTAATTAGACTTTTAATTTGTGGTTTTAGAATCGGGTTTCTCCTGGTGACTATTGGGGTCTCACTCCAACCACTCTAGTAACCAATGGTAAAATTCCCAAAAGGAATTTGAACTCTTGCACCTAGGACTCTAGCATCTAAGACATCTGGAATACTTTGTTGTGTGTAATTGAGATTTGTTTGCCAATTTTACCTCTTTTCTAAGCAGCTTCAGCAGAACAAGAAAGAACCAAGTGATGGAGCTTAATAACCAAAGAATATAACTGACTATGATTTCTAGCATAAGCCAGACTTCATAGCAAAAAAGCTAGACTTCATAGCAGGAAAATCAAAAGACTCAAAATTTTTATTGAAGTAACTTACTTTCTCCATTTTAATGAAATCATCATCCAGCTTGAAGCCCTCAGCACCACCAATCCACTCAGAGACAAACTGGAAGAGCGTAAATAAACCAAATTTCAATTAATTCTGGGTAGGACGAAGGAGTTTCTCTGGTTCTGGACAGTGTTCTCTATTAACTACATTTCCACAGAAATAAAGCTATTCTTCAACATATACACTTCATTAGAACAGAATGCTTTCATTATGAGAATAGCTTACAAACACCAATATAGGAGCTATGCAAGGAAGCACCCCAGTTTTTGGCCACGCTGATACGAGGAAGTGGACACCCAGTGCACACACCAGGAAACACTAGTAATACCTGTAGGTCCTCATACGGGAAGATGTTAATAGCATGCTCGAAAACAGCCAGATTAACTAATTATGCTGGATTTAAGCCTCACTGGCCAACAACTGGAGACCGTCCAGAAACGGGGGTGTTTACCCTAACATTGATTCAACGTTGATTTGGTTTAGATTTAGTATCAATGTTGACTGTTTATAACTCCGTGTTGCATCAACATTGATTCAACGGGCGACCTTCACCGTTTGAACACCCACATTGGCTCAACATTGAATCAACGTAGCAATGTCGGTTGAACATTGAATCAATGTTGATATGCCGTTGATGTCCACGTTGCCTCAAGGTTGATAAAGAAAAAAGATTGAGCCATGTGATGTCATGATCTTGATTCACTAGTCTCGCTCTAATAAATTTAAAAAAAAGATGACTGGAAGATCGAGCTTCGTTCAAAATTCAAAATGGGCATGAGGAGCTCGGTCTGTCGGACTGCAAAAAGGTTAACTGGATTTCTCTACGCAATTCATGCTCCTTGGGGTAATTGATCATGCAAACTAATATCAATCGACCTCCGCTTGTTGGCAAGACTGAAGTCTCCATCGATCCTCCAAGCGTATTACTTTCCTCCCACCCTCTTTCATTTTTTTCCGTTGGGTTTTGACATACTTGGAGAACGTGACTTGAATCATTGACCATAAGCTACAGCTACTCCGGTACGGAATAGTATCGATAAACGAGTCCATGGCGTTGATTAGTTATTTGAAAAAATTCAGCTCAAAGTTTAATTCGACATGGGCCTAAGATGTGGAAACAGTTTCTACCAGCAGGCGGATGCGAGAGAAGGAACGGAATATGGGCTTTTTATCTGGCATATTCATAAGCACTATGGGAAATTGCCAAATATTTCGGTCTGTCTATGACTTTTTTCTTTCATTCCGTCTGTCTGCAGCAGCCACAGCGACAGGACAACACAACCCAATGCGCCCGTGCAGCTTTCCGCCAGGGTCTGTGTGCCCGTCTTCCAAGTTAGCATCCACTTCCCCTCCAGCCCTGGCGGTTGACGCTCTCCTCCATAGTAGACAATGGAGGAGAGCGGCAGCTCCCGGCCGCGTAGACAGGGTTGCTGGGCGTAGGCGTGAAATGCCGTATCCTGCATCCTACACTTCATACTGTCCTCCCATCTCCACGCGACGCGGACGCGCGGACCACCGAGAACATGTCTAGTTGTCAAGGCCTTTTCATATTGGCCTACGTCGAACCAATGTTCGACGATGTTTCAAGGTTGGATGATTAGGATGCAGTGAACATATATAATAATTCCAGTGGTACAGGGGCCAGGGTAATGCCAGATCTGTACCTGGGCTAATACTCTCTAGTTTAGTAGTCGCCTAACAACGAAACTGGTAGCAAGCACCCGGACTGAAATGAAGGAACCTAGAATATCCCTTTTTTCATTTGATACAGCCAAGATAAATAGTGTCTCACCTGATCCGCTTTGTAGAACTGCTTTCGAAACCCAGTCAACGACATTTTCACTGATTCACAGAAGCCGTTTCACCAAAATCGCACCTTCTCCTGAAGCAGAAAAGAATGAAGAAAGAAAGCTGATGAGACCACAGGGGAAACCCACAGAGGAGACTGGGGGGGAAAAGATAGCTGGTTAATGAGTAAAAGAGGATGTCTCAGTTTCACTCTTTCTCCGATATGACTACGAGGTAACCTGTTCTAACAGCACGAGGACATAGGATGAGTCTACGCTGTGGAGGAAAACCATTTTCGCAATAAGGGCGAGCCAGCTATGCTGTTTTTCCCGAGAGCTCGACAAGGAAAATAAAGTAGAGGACGCGCGCTCCATTGACCTTGTGTGGGTAGGCCATCGATTTTCGCTTTCCGGGAAGCGACGAGTCACCTTTACCAAGTCACCGTGAGTCACATATTGAGTGAACAATTAGGGTAGGTGATAATTCCGACCATGCTATAAAGTCCCCCACCCCCTCCCCCCAAAACAATATATTTCTACTTAGTGAGAAGAAAAAGCAGCCTTTTTCAACCAATATACCCCTAAAGTGCGATATCTAAACGTGAATAGGCGGTGTATGCATTTTCCTCTTGATTGGCATAGATCTAAAAAATATATAATTTCAAATCGTGAGTGATTTTGAGCTTAAGGGGGTCGGAATTTGTATCACCTATCCTACTCGCGAATCGATCGTGGAATCGTCGCAGCTCGAGAGAAGCATATGAGCTGTCAACTGCTACAAAAAAATCCAGAGAGAGCTCGGAACGACCTTCGATTTCGTAGGTGCTTCCAAGAATCGGATCCATGGAACCCGCACACCGCCCTGACGAAAGGTACGCTCCGCCTACTTCGGAGATTCTGTCCTGCCGCTTCCGGAATGCTCTCGTTCAGACGGAAATATTCCCAAGGAAATCAAATATCATCTAACAGCATGAAGGGACGATGCGTTTATAGTCGTGCAGTGAAATCTGTCTAATACGGCCACAAAGGTAACTTTGGGTTGGGTCTTGGTTGGGTCTCATTTTTGTGATCGTACTCTGTCCTGGCATTGTCAGGAGAGGAATCTGATGATCATCATATGCAAGAAATGTGACTATTCATGCTCTCATGTATAACTTCTAGTTTTTCATAAAGTTTCATGTGACTGTAACTGCATGCCATGTAGGTCCCCCTTTTTTAATGCCCATATTTACTCTTGAACATTTCGTGCCTTTCCTTTATGTTGGGGAAATAGCTAAAGCTAATTGGTGGTTATGAACGTGCTTCTTTGCACCCTCTGTTCCAATCTCCAATAATTATAACGATGGAAATCCGTGCCTTCGTTTTGTTCTTGTTTAAAATGAACATGAAGCATTCGTGGGATCCTTGTCAGGGGCGAAGGTGAATCATGGATGACAAAAGCTTACTATATTCCTTTCCTATATAATACTTCAAACCCTTAAGAGTTTGAAGATCTCCCCCAAGTCTCTCTTGAAGAACCTTTTCTTTTTCTAAACAGTGAAGGAAAAAAAGATTTCAGTGTTTCCTCATAGGAAAATCCCCTGGTCTGTCTGGCCACTCTTTGTTGCACTTCCTCACCTGCTTTCCGGGCCATCCATGAGGATAGTTGCTAATCCTTGAACAAAGGTCCTAGTTCTGCTTAACCACGGCATCCACTTACATCCTCAAGACAATAAGCCCTTTCCAAGGAAGTTTAACGTTCTTCGGAGCGGGCGTCCTGGCCCGTCGGCCATTCGTTCTTGATCACGTAACGACTCGAGCGTGAGCCTGTGACATCTATTGAAGCATCCCAATCATTTGCTTCTCGTGAATCGTCTCAAACAGGTGACGTTTACGAAGATTTCTATTGGCTTCTTGACTTTTTTTACTGTTCCAACTATAGTAGACAACACTTCTTATAGGTGCATAATAACAAGCAAGTTCCTACATCCTGATCAGATCAGCCAAGAAGATTTGAGGCCAATGCAATTCCTATTCCTATTCAGGGTAGGTTGCAAGAAAGGATTGTAGCTACAGTCGTGGAGACTTTTTATTCTTGCTCCTAGGCATGGGTTATGTCAGATCTCTCCCTAGGGGTAGAAAATCCATGCATTTCTTAGTTCTCATATTTATCTGCAGTGTTTCTGAAGTCCCACCCTGACATTCATTACTTCCAACTTGAGGTGGTGAAGGCTGAGTCAATGCGTCTTTCCAAAGGGAAAATCCTTTTTTGCAACATTGGGTCCCACTTACCTTGGGGCGTATAGATGAATGTGAACCTAAAACAAGTACCAGGCCAAAGGTTAAAGGCTACTCCGTAGTATTTCATAATCCGACGTAAAATTCCTTTCCCCATATTGATCTGAGGCGAATTAAACCCATGAGCCCGATGACCTCAGTCTTCGCGAGATCGGCCTGGCCTTGGATTTCAGGGGCTTGCGTCGAAAGTAACATCGGGACCGAAGTGTTCACACAAATCGTTTCGCCGTTGGGGTACTGGTTGTGTCTTTTGCGACGTGAGGAGTGTCCATTTTGAAACCCCTACCCAGGAACCTTCAGTCTTTCATTTAAATATGGGGGCCAAAAAAAGGGCTGAAATAAATCCTGTTGTAATATATAAGGGTCGTGCAAAAGTTTCAGATTTCATGAAATAAATGAAAAGCTACTACATATTGTCTTGAAAGTTGCAAGCATCGTACCGCAGAGTATGGTCAATCGTAAAAACAATCACCAGCACTGGCAATCCACTTCCTTCAATGCGATAATCATTTGAAGATAGCAGTCCCGTAACAAGCGATTTGACGAGTCCTCTTCCTCATATATGCAGCCTTTTCCCCCTCATTCTTAGCAGCAAAATGAATTATTCTCGAATTGCCTCCATTGAGTTCAAACAAGTAAAAGTCAGAAGATGCCATATCCCGGTTTTTGTGAAGATGTGGCACGATTTGCCATCCCATTTCTCTCGACCCAATGCTGCAAGCATTGGTTTGCGACAAAAGAGTCTGGCATTATTGTGAAGAACATTGCTTCTTTCCTCGGACGATGCGGTTTCTTTTTTCGAAGTATAGTTTTTAGTTACATTGATGTTCCCCAATACTACACAGAGTTTGCTGTTGCACTTTTCAGTAATAAATAGTGATTTATGAAGTTAGTGAAGGAATCCTCATTGTCCCAGACGACAGTCATCGTCACATTCTTGGTGGATCACTCTGACTTCAAGGACCTCTCTAATTTTTATTTA